CAATCGATCTATTCGCAAATGGGAGCAATACCAAGCTACCTCGTATCTGCTCCAAAACACTGCACCCAGACGCAGCGGCAGTTGACGCATTCTCGATCCCATGGACCTCCGAGCAAGGATACGCATTCCCTCTACCGCACTTAATCCCAGCAGTGCTCCACCACGCGAAACGAACTCGCGCCGCCATCACTCTCGTCACGCCTTACTGGCCTGGCGTAAGTTGGTGGCCCCTACTGCAACCCTCCCCTCCTCAATGGGCCACCTACATCCACACCCACCTCCACCTCACGCACGGTAGCCAGTGCCTGATGGCATGCAATCACTCCAGCGCCTTCTCCGGCGACGGTTTGCCGTGTAGTCCTATGGTCGCACTACGCGTGTTATTCACCTCCTAACTGCTTTTGCACACGATGCAGGATTGCTGGAAAAACTCAAGCATCGCCTACTAGAGATAACCACGCAAACGCGGGCCGACTCCACAACCCGTACATACGAGCCCTACTGGGTCAAGTTCCGCTCCTTTTGCCAACACCACAAGCTCAAGTTCCTCCCATGCACTGACATGACGCTCGCGATGTACCTGGTCCACGCCATTCAACACAAGGCTACGGTGTCTGCAATTCAGTTGACATGCTCTGCAGTTAGCTTCGCGCATCGGTCGATCGGGGCATCATGCCCGTCCATCAGCGCATTCACCTCTCAAGTCAGAGATTTTGCAAAGAAGCGATGTCCGCACCCTACCCGGGCCAAAGAACCCGTGTCGCTTCATCAAGTCCACGCGATGGCATCAGAATTTCTACAGTCAGACAACCCTCGCGAATTTCAGAAGGGGCTAATACCGATCATAATGTACTCCGGGTTTCTTCGCTACTCTGACCTTGCAGTCATCAACTGGCATGAGATTCATTTCGAGCCGGAAGTCATGTGGTTACTAATACCCGGTTCCAAGACGGATCAGGCAGGAGAAGGCACATGGGTCCCGGTAGCGGCAAGCCTTGGCCCCTTTTGCCCACTTCGGTGCACCAAATGATTCATACACCTAGCAGGATACGATCAATCGCAACAAGGCCCACTCATCCGCGTCTTTGGAACAGAGGGTGGGAAAAACGGTGCCGCCAAGTCGCCATCCTACACCACAATTCGCAACTGGTGCAAAGAGGCCTTCAACAAAATCGGTATTAGTTTCGAGCATCTCGGCACCCACTCTTTTCGGAAAGGTGCAGCAACTGTCGCAGCCAACACCGGAATATCAGACCGCATCCTGAAGCGACTAGGAAGGTGGAGCAGCAACACCGCCAAGGAGACGTACATCACGCCTACCGCAGACCAACTGGTGGGGGCTTCGAAGCAAGTTCAAGACCCAGCACGAGCCCTCTCCCCCGCTCAACACGCCACGACAGTGGCGCGCCAACGGCGTCCAACAAGACACATGTCTCAGAAGACCCATTTGAAATTAGACGATGCCATTGCTACAACAAGAAAGCAAGCTTTCTAAAATATGAATATTTTTAACAGTTGTAACGCTTTTCAAAATTTTGTATTTTGAAAGCGAAGCGGCTTGTAATGTAGCAATGGTCATCGGCGAACCGCGCTAAACGCCCGTTTTGGAGTACAAAACGTGGGCTGGAGGTCATTTCCCTCCACCCACGTCTTTCATTTTCAAACGGCTTAGCCTAGTTTCCCGCCCACCCACCCCGTAGAACTGGGACCAATTATGGATAGTTGATTGCTTTAGAATAATTGCATGCTAGCTTGGACATGTCTGTACTTTGCCATTTGAAATGAGACGATGCCATTGCCATTTGAAATGAGACGATGCCATTGCTACAACAAGAAAGCAAGCTTTCTAAAATAATTAGATTTGATTGCACCCTGATTTTTAAGAGCTGCTTCTGTGAAGCACCCTTACTGAAAGAGTAAAGGCTGGGTGTTGGCCTTACGAGAAAGAGTACCCCAAATCCTATCCAGAGGCCTGGCTGACGTTTCATATTACCGTAAAGTGCCACCTATAGGACCCGCCGGTAAGAGGGTCCCCCGGGACTCTTGAATGGGTAGGGGGACTCTTATTGTGGCAGGTTTTGTGAGGACCCCCCCTTTGTAGCTAATCATTATAAGACCCCCCCCCCTTTCCATATAAGGCCCTATTGAGTTTGGTGCAGTTAACATGGTTATCGTTGTTACCTACCGTACTACATACACATCTCAACACCTAGTGGTCACTACAACTACGGCTTGGTCATGTTAGATTCCATCAAGCACTTAGCGTTCGCGTCCTCCTCCTCAAGCGGGTCCAAAGGAGGAGTGGTGCACCAGTCAACGAAGCCCGGGGGAAGCACAGGGGGCGCAGGTGGCGCCGGAGGCGCAGGGGGTGCCGGAGGTGCGGGAGGAGCTGGAGGAGCTGGCGGGGCCGGGCTTGTGATCAGTATGATTGCGGGCTGGCCAGACCCACTTCCTACCGCCATACTGCGAGAACGCCATGGGCTTTCGAAAGCCGACATGGCGAAGAGCTGATACAATTCTAACGACCTATGGTTCACTAAATGGCAGGCGCCATGGCGGGCTATTTAGATGGGTAGGAAGCTAGCCGGGCGGACAAGATCTGAAACAGAGGGAGGGAGGGGATGAAAGCTTGCGTGTACGGTAGAGTGAGGGGCGTGAAACTCTAGTGCTTCACGTCCAGTACCCATTCTGCCACAGAGACATGATGGGGTGGACAAGGGCCACCTAACGTGCCCATCTTAACGGAAACACCGTCGAGAGGATGTGAGGTGCGGGGCAAACGCCGTTCAGTCCGCCCCGTGCTCTGATTTTCGCCGCGTGTCATTCCCGATGATGCGCACGTGGGGCACCAAGCTAAAGATTCTCGCGCAAAAAATATAAGACCCCCCCCCCTACCGAGATTGTGTTGGGAACAATAAGTCTTAAGGCGCCTCTGTCGTGTCGAAACTCAGGACACTAGCGAAGCAGCCTAAATCGAAGCATCGCGAGTCAACCCTCGGAGGTTAGGGTAACCGCCTGGAGGTTACGCGAAGGTCAAAGGTCAGCGACCTTTGACTTGACCAATACAGCGCGACAGCAAGGACACACAGCTGACTCGACATTGAGCAGTTGCCCGAGTCGCACTGTATCGAATCGCAACAGTAAAACGGTTTAAATCTATCTATTCGTATTCCTTATACTCTTATATAAACCTTGTATTTGCTTGTTTAATCCAACTTACTTTGCTCTCACATACTAGTGCAAGGTGGTTCAACCACTCTGTATTACAACGCTTCCGCTATTACAATCCTACTCAGTCCTTAAACTCTACAAAGATCCTAGGGCTTCTCAGCCCAACAGATTGTACATGGTAAATCCATTAATGTTAATAGACAAATAAGTGTACCCCGGGTCTTAAAAATTTGCAACCGCCATAATGTCCACCCTAGCATTTTTTCCAGCATTTGTAGAGAGTCCCCCGGGTCCTATAGGTGGCACTTTACGGTAGGCCTCCCTGATTATGAGTGCACATTTTTCCTCTCTATTATGTGTGCACATTTTTCAGAATGATGCTACGGTATGCTAGTAGTACCCTGATTGCTCAGGGTTGAAAAGTATATAACTCTGATTGTTCATGGTCGAGAGATCGAAGATCAGAGTAGTAACGCGCCCTTTGTTACAGAGGAAAAAATCTCGCTCTGCGTAAAGTCTTCTGCGCTCTTTGTTACTGACTGGTTGCGCGTCCAGTCATGATGTGCTGGCACGCCTGAAATGTGGCGTGTCATGCATGGCCCTTGTGTGCTGTCAGAGAATCACTTGCGCGCGATTCTTTTTTTTGACGCTAACACATTTCGACTCAGTTGAAATGGCAAGGATGAAATGTACATTTTGAAATATTATCTGTATTTGGCATTTTATAAGCACATGCGCTGCCCGATCCTCAATTAGAAGCGCACCCCCTATAAAACCCCCGTTATTTATAAGCGCACCTGCGCTTATATCCGGGGTGTTACGGTATGTACACAGTGGGCACACAGGTACTTGAAAAGGCCGTCGTTAGCACCCTCCACACCAGCACCCACCCACCGTGCCTTTCCTGAGCAGCCTGAGAGAGTTCCCCACCACCGCCAGGCTCGTGCCCACATCAGCCAGCACAGCGAGCCACAGGTGCGCCCTGCCAGCCACTGCCAGCCCCAGCACCACGCCCTTCACCACCACCGACGCCACCACGTTCTCTGCCACCACCCACCGCACTGCCCGGCCTAGCAAAAATGTCCGCGCCAGCTGGCGCAGGTCGTCTGACATCAGCGCCACGTCAGCGGCCTCCATGGCTGACGCAGACGCAATGGTGCCCATGGCGATGCTGACATCAGCGGCTGCGAGGGCGGGTGCGTCGTTGATGCCGTCTCCCACCATGCAGGTGATACCGTGGGCCGCCTTGAGTGCCGCTATGGCCGCCACCTTGCCCTCCGGTAGCAGCTCACACAGCACCTCCACTGCTGGGTGCAGCTGACCAGTGGGGCGGGCAGGCGCACGGGAGAGGGGTTTGGAGAGGAAGAGAGGGAAAGAGGGAGAGAGGGCGAGATGAAGTGGACGAGAGGGAGAGAGGGAGGGGGGGACGGAAGAAGAGCAGCAAGGGGAGGGGAGGACGGAAGGGAGGGAGGTTGGAGAAAGAGTAAGAAATGGGAACACAAATATTGGAGGAAGGCTCATATGTCGTTGCTCCATGTGAGCAACATGTGGAGAATCGCTTCTCAAGGACTCCATACTCAGCTGTCGGCTTTTCTTCTTCCAGTCAGCGCGTCCCAACGATACATCTTCAGCTACATGTACAACCCCAACCCAGCTATACCCAATACACCTCCTCCCCTTTCATTCCCCTCTCTTCCTCCTCCCCCACCCCCCCCGAACCGCCTCTCAACTTCTCCTTCAGCCCAAAGGCTAAAACCAAACACCCCCCTCCCCTCTTCCCTCTTTCCCCCCTGTTCTCCCCTCAAACCCAACACCCCCCTCGTTCGCACCTGCTGCTGCACGGCAGTGGCAGCGCCCGCATTGTCGCCCGTCAGCATGGCCACGTGCAGCCCCACTCCCCTCACCAGCTGCCCAACCGCCTCCGCAGCTTCGGCCCGAAGCGAGTCAGCTGCGGCAATCACTGCCTTGGGGTGGCCGTCCACGCCAAGCCACACCACGGTGGCTCCGAGGCTGAGCCAGTGGGAGAGCAGCGCGGGGGGCATGGCTGGTGGGATGCGGGGGGGTGGGAGAGGACGAACAGAGGTGAACCCGTTGGGATGGCCGTCCACAGGGAGGCAGGTGAGCGTAGCTTTGAGATTGAGGCAGGGCAAGGAGAAAACGAGGGGGTGATGGTTGGGTGGGGTGGGTGGGGCAGGCTGGTTTGGTGGAGGGGAGGGGAGAGAGGGAGGGAGCTGTGGCATTGGGGCATGAGTGGGGAGGGCTGTGGCACACACCGGGGAGGAGAGCTGCCATGTGTGAAGGGATACAGGGGAGTGGAGTGGGGTAACATGTAAGTGAGAGAGCAGGCAGTGGCCATGCGATGGCAGAGGCGGCAAACCCAATGATGCCAATGGAGGCACGTGCAGACATGTGATCAAGGTGAACCAATGCATGGGCTCTGCATGTGATCAAGGTGAACCAATGCATGGGCTCTGCATGTGATCAAGGTGAACCAATGCATGGGCTCTGCATGTGATCAAGGTGAACCAATGCATGGGCTCTGCATGTGATCAAGGTGAACCAATGCATGGGCTCTGCATGTGATCAAGGTGAACCAATGCATGGGCTCTGCATGTGATCAAGGTGAACCAATGCATGGGCTCTGCATGTTTGGGTGCAAACGTTCAAGAGGGAGGGCAAATGGGCGGTTGAGGATGGAGGGCCTCACCATGTGTCCACCCCAGGCGCAGGGCCATCCTCTCGTTGCCCACGTGCACGCGCCTGCCCCCCACCACCGCCTCCACGCCCTCCCCCGCTACCGTCTCAAACCCACTCGCCCCCCCTCCCTCCCTGCCACCCTCTGTCCCTCCTGCTGCCCGTCCAACCCCCCCTTCAGTCGCATCCTCGTTACAGATTGCCTCGGTTTCTGCAGCAGTGCCTTGCTGTCTGTCTTGGCAGCGAGACGCCTTACAGCACCCTTGGCTGGCTGCAACCATGCCATGTGACCTACTGCCTCCACAAGACCCTCCATTGTTTTCACATGCCCCACCCAGCATGGCACATGCGCCATCTGGCATGCCACATGTGTCAGCAGCCGCATTGCATGTGACGTGTGGCTTGCTGCATCCACCAGTAGCAGTAGCACGTGTGCTACAACCGTTCCTACCCATCTTGCTGCTGCTTCCACAACCCAACTCGCCCCAGCTGCTGCCTGCACCAGCACGGGAGCACGTGGAATGGGTGTGTGCGCAGCCTGCTGCTGTTACAGGGGCGCATGCAGCAGCACCCGGCAGCGGCCCGTTGGACTCAACGCCGTGGTGGCGGCAGTAGGCCAGCAGGGCGGCCGCCATGGGATGGCTGGACTGCCTCTCTGCACCTGCCAGCCTGCACCCATGGCGAGACACACACGGTGCATGGCAGGGAGACAGTGAGACCACAAGCAGGCTCATGAACGAGGAAAGAGAGACGGCAAAGGGGAGGCTATACGAGGGGCAGGGCATCGAGTGGGATGATAGCAGCTGGAAACGCAACTAGGTCGAACCCCAGCACTCGTTCAACTAGGACGAACCCCAGCACTCGTTCAACTAGGACGAACCCCAGCACTCGTTCAACTAGGACGAACCCCAGCACTCGTTCAACTAGGACGAACCCCAGCACTCGTTCAAGAGAAACAGTGATTCTTATCCGCAGCGAGTCGCTCACCACTCGAGGCACTCATGCTTGCTGCAGGCAGCGCCGTCCACGAGCTCAAACCCCACCACTTGGAAGCGGCCATGTGTGAGCGTGCCCGTCTTGTCCACGCCCACCGCCCGCACGCGCCCCAGCATCTCCAGGTGCGCGCCGCCCTTCACCAGCACCCCGTCCTTTGCAGCGCGCGCGATGCCGCACACCGCGGCAACGGGCGTGGAGAGCACGAGGGCGCACGGGCAGGCGACGACGAGCAGCAGCAGCGCGAGGCGGAAGAAGTAGAGGTGGTCGGCGGAGGGCACGGCGAGTGGCACGAGGGCGAGCAGCAGCGCGGCGAGCACGACGGTGGGCGTGTAGACGCGTGCGAACGACTCCACGAGGCGCTGCGACGGCGAGCGGTTGGCCTGCGCTGCGTGGATGAGCGCCACCATGCGCGCCACTGCTGAGTCGCTCGCCAGCGCCGTGGCCCTCATGGTGAAGTAGCCTGGCGGGGGCGAGGGGCAAGTAGAGGAAGGCATGCATGGTGCGCGCATGTTTGCTCGGACAGGTCAGACGCGCAGCTGGCAGCAAGCGCCATGGCCAGCATGGTCTGCAAGCGCCATGAACACGATTGGAAGGAAGGGTGATGGATGCGGACGAGGTGGGGACAAGGGAGGCGGTTCAACGTGGCTGGTTGGTGGTGTGAGGGAGCGGAGAGGAGCAGCACGGGCCTGTGGTGTTGATGGTGCCGGCCCACACAGGCGCGCCCACGTCCTTGAACACTGGCAGCGACTCGCCTGTCAGACTGCTCTCATCCACGCTGCTCGCACCGCTCTGCACCACTCCATCCACCGGCACGAGCGCGCCTGGGCGCACTGCGAGCAGCGTGGCCACGGGCACGTCCTCCACCGCCACCTGCGAGCGGCAACGTGCGGGGCATGGGGGTGGGAGTTGAGGTGCGTTGGGGCACACTCACGCGTGCCCACCGCCACCTCCACAGCCACCGCCACCTGCCATGGGCACAGCGTGGGACTGGAGCAGCATGGGGGTGGCTCCACAGGGTGCTAACCTGCCTGCCATTTGCACATGGCAGGCAATAGGATCCAGACCTGCTGGTACCCATCTTCACCGCTCTCGTGCTTGTGGCGTATGCTGTGACGGCGCATGCTGTGACGGCGCATGGTGCCATTGGAAGAGGTGGGGTTAAGGGGAAAGAGAAAACGAGGGGAAAGAGAGACACGCAGATGCCAACCAGCCCAGAACAGAAAGAGGAGACCACCACACTTGTTTGCTAGCATCCCTACATACCCATTCCCCACCACACTTGTTTGCTAGCATCCCTACATACCCATTCCCCACCACACTTGTTTGCTAGCATCCCTACATACCCATTCCCCACCACACTTGTTTGCTAGTATCCCTACATACCCATTCCCCACCACACTTGTTTGCTAGCATCCCTACATACCCATTCCCCACCACACTTGTTTGCTAGCATCCCTACATACCCATTCCCCACCACACTCCTGCAATGCAAACCACCCTATCCGTCTCAGCCCCCTCTGCGGCTCCGCCCTCCACCCTCATCCACCCAGAGGCGTCTCCCATTCCCACCCCCCCACCCCCCCCTCCCTCCCCACCTGCTCGCCTGTGGCGGCCAGCTCAGCCGTCTGTGGGGCGCGGTCGATGAGTGACTGGATGGCCACCCGCGCCTGAGAGGGGCACGTATGGGCAGCGGAGGGATTGTTGGCATGCGGTCGATGCGTCATTGGGGGGCATGGGGCGAGAGGGGACATGCGCGAGGGAGGAAAGGAAAGGGGAGTGCGGATAGAAGGGGGAGGGAGCGAGCAAGTGGGAAATGGGAAGGATGCAAAGGGAGGGGAAGGGGAAGTTTGGCATGTATCGGTGCAGCCTAGCTGATGCGTGCAGCCCACCTTATGGGTGGAGCGCGCTTCAAGGAAGTGGGCGAGGGAGAAGAGGAAGACCACAGACGCGCCCTCCACATACTCCCCAATGGCTATTGCGCCGCCCACTGGGAGCCCATGAGAGGCCGGTGGGGGACGGGGAGAGATGAGGCAAGATAAGCGGGAGCGACATGGCATGTGTGCGCTCTCACACAAGGGACTCGAACGCACACATACTTCTATGCATGGACATGCTTCAGGCAGGGAGGGACGCTAAGCAGAGACGGAAGGACTCACTTCTAGGCATGGACACTCGCTAGGCAGGAACACTTGCAGGGAAAGGATGCGCCACACACACAGAGGCGCCTCTCAAATCCCCCGTGCCTCCTCTGACCCCTGTGAGCCTCCAAGCCAGGAATACAAGCACAGCCTGATGGCTGTTTGTTACCAGAGCTCACCTGCAATGACCATGAGTGTGTTTATATCGAGTATGAACCTCCTCAGCGCAGCGAAACTGCTGAGCAGAATGGGTGGCAGGCCGGCGGCGATGGAGGCGAGGGCGACAAACTGGAGGGGGGGGAGGAGGTAGTGGAAGAGGGAGACGAGCAGCAGCGCGCCCGACAGCAGCGTGGAGGGCGACGGCAGCGACGACGCCATGCGCACTCGCCCCCTCTGCTGCTCGCTGGCATTCAGATGCGCATCGTTCAGCGCCGCCACTGGTGGGACGCCAGGAGAGGAGGAAACGAGGGGAGGCGGGGGAGGGAGTGGGAGGAGAGGAGAGGAGGGGTTGGGGCTGCGTGCTTGAGAGGGAAGTCGCAACCGCAGGAGAGGACGTGTGGGGGATGCAATGCATGGTTGCCTCACCTCACCGTTGGTCACGACCAACACGACTTCCACTCACCCTCGGCACTCACCGCACCCATGCAGCACGCACTCACCGCACCCATGCAGCACGCACTCACCGATGTCAGCAGTGGAGGTGATGGAGGCGTCATGGCGCACGAGGGCCGTCCTGGTGGGCGTGGAGACGGCGACGTGCAGCACGCCGGGCAGCGCCTCCACCACTCGCTGCACTACCGCCACCTCCGCTGCGCAGCACAGCCCCAACACGTCCACCCGTGACGTCACCACTGCCCCACCAGCACCAGGAATGGCAGCAGCGGGGGCGGAAGCATTGCTGTGCGGCTGGGGACCTTGGAAGGCCTTGGTTGCTGCGCTGGCCACGGCAGTGATTGCTCGCTTGCACGCGGTGGTTGACCACCAGACAAATGGAGACGGCTTTCTGGCCATCCACTCGCCCACTACCTCTGTCGCCTCTCCAGCCCCCTCCCTGTCGCCCCCACCCACCAGCACCACCATCTCGCCTGCACTCCCAGTGCCCTCTGCATGAGTGCAGCAGCCCTGCCCGCTACACCACATCGCCCCTCCCACTGCTGCCTCGCTGGTTTCAACGCCATCAGCGCTGCCAGCAGCATGGCTGGTGATGCAAGCGTGAGTGTGACTGTGCCTGCTGTGATGGCCGCTGCTGCAGCAGCCATGATCGTCTTTCTCATGAAGCGTACAGCCTGTGGACTGTTCACTGCCACGGGGCTGCTCTTCACGTGCCATCACTGCCATCGGCGTATGACAGCCAATCAGAGAAGCTGCTTTTGCCTGCACCCTTTCACTCTTCACCACCTCTGCCACGTCAGCGTCAAGCAGACTCGCTGCAGCTGCAGCAGAGCCGGCAGGTGGAGGTGCAGATGCACCTTCCCCACACGGACCTGCCTGCTCCTCCGCTCCACCATCACGCCGCTTCACCCCCATCTGTACTGCTCTTTCGTTGCCCTCCATATAATCACATTCATCACGGGACGGCAACCGAGTGTAGGAGCAGATGGCATCAGAGCAGCATCCCGCTGCCGCACTGCCACAGGTGCGAGCACACGTGGGTGTGAGGGTGGGGGAGGGAGCATGGCGCACGTAGTCAAACACCTCCACACGCTGCTTGCCCACGCGCCGCCTCAGCAGCCCCATGGCAGCGCCGATCCTCACCAGCCGCCCGTGCTCGTGCACGTGGTAACCGCATGTGCTTGCCGCCGCGTCATGCCTGTGCGCCTCAGCGGGGTGAGTGTGCGGGGCAGTGGTGCTGGCAGAGTGCGCAACATGCGCGGTGCTGCCGTGGCTGGCAGCACTGCACCTGCTTCCACAGGCCGGCGAGGAGGCACAAGGCGGTGGGGATCCACGGGAATGGGGCTGCACGGGATGGCTCACGGATGGCCCTGCTGCCATGCCATGGCCATGTGCGCTTGCTGCCGCATGGGGAGGAGAGTCCGAACTAGGATGGGCATGCGCATGGGTATGAGCGTGGGCATGGGAGTGAGCATGGGTGGCGAGGGGAGCAGGATCGCCAGAATGGCCATCATGTGCTTCCTCGTGCACATGGCGCGCATCACCATGCCCGTGCGCATCACCATGCCCGTGCTGACCACGCATTGCATGCACATGGCGGAGTGAGTGATGCGCGTGGTGCGCATGGGGGGGTGAGTGATGCGCGTGGTGCACATGGGGCAGGTGATGAGCGTGGTGCAGCAGGAAGGAGCCATCGAGGAGCGGCATGAGGTAGTCCACGTGGTCGCCATGCGCTATGCGACCATGCCCACACCCCTCCGCATGCACGTGCCACCCCCCCTCGCCCTGCTCCTCTGCGCCGCCATGCCCCTCCGTCACTGCCCCCCTCACCCCCTCCCCCTCTCTCCTCACCGCGTCATTCCCCCGCTCCCCGCCAAATGCGGTGGAAAGAGAGGGGAGGCGCGGCGAGGGGGCGGGGGAGGGGCGCAGGCAGGGCGACAGCACACCTTCGTGCAGGCACTGTGGAGTGTGACAATAACGGGGGAAGGCGAAGGGACGGGCATTGTGGTTGACTAGGCTAGCAGAAACTTGGCATTGAATAGCAAGCGCAAGGGGGAATGGGAAACACGACGGGGGGATGGGAAGGGCAAGCGGGGAATGGCAAGTGCAGGGGGGGAATGGCAAGCGCAGGGGGGGAATGGCAAGCGCAGGGGGGGAATGACAAGCGCAAGGTGGGAATGGCAAGCGCAAGGTGGGAATGGGAAGGGCAAGGGCGACGGCGAGGCAAGGCAGCAGCGACGTCATTCCCTCACGGGTGGGCTGGACCGCGCACCGGTTCGAGCAGCACGCACCGGTTCAAGCAGCACGCACCGGTTCGAGCAGCACGTCTTCGGTGCTCGCGTCGCCATGATGCACGTGTGCGTGCACGTGCATCCCCTCCCGCTCGCAGCACGCATCCCCCGCTTCTTCCTCTGCCTCCTCCGCCTCCTGCCTTGCGCCAAGGCCTATCCCCGTGGACTCACGCAAGGTTTCGCTTCCCGACCTTTCGGGAGAGATATCGGGGGAACCGCTGTCAACGGGCGGTGCGAGCAGTTGCGCGCGCTGCTCGGCGTGCTGATGGTGGTCCGAGCGGTCAGCGGCGGCGGTACCTCTGGCGCTGTGGTCTTGGAAGCAGAGGCGCAGCGAGAGCGAGAGCGGCGCGCTGACGCACGTGAAGCGCGAGCCCTCCAAGACGAGCAGGTGGTGCGCCTCGCGCGGCGGCGGCACGGCACGCGGCGAGGTCCGGGGATGGGAGAGTGGGGCGGAGGCGGGGTCGGGAAGATGCGCGGCGGGATCGCTGTGGGCGACGACGGCGTCGAATAGGTGCGACGACATGCTGGGAAGTGCTCACAGGGAACGAGATATGGAGAGTTCTTCAATTCAAATCGCGATACCTGTCGGTCCTTAAAGCCGCAGTTTGGAACGCCAAGACTTTTGAAGTTGAACCTAGTTGGCTTATGAGTGAATAATGGGCTCGGGCTACGTGAAATGCTAAGAGCTCTCAAGGCAGTCATTCTATCGGACATCACGAAGTCCCTGAGATGGGCGCTCGGTCGGTGACCAGGTGACCAGCATAACAGTGGGTCTTCCAAGGCAGTCATTGTAGATGACATCACATCCATTGCAGCCGACATTCACGGATTCAGAGGTAGGTAGGTTGGTTGGGGCAGTAGTCTCGATTGGCGGGCGAAACAGGTTGGTTTTGTAATCGATAGACGTTGGTTTTGCATTCCGCGATATATGTTTGATAGGCTGTAGTGAGTTGCATCCTAGGGGGTACAAAAACTACTCGCGACACCTTTCTTGTACCCCTCCCCTTTACCCTAATCCATTATTCTCCTAAGTCGCATACCTATGTTTCATAGCTGGCTGAGGTGAAATCAGAACTGCAAAAGAGACATACCACGTGCACTGACCTTGGTGAGCTCTGCCACTACATTGGCCTGCAGATCACCAGAGACACAACCGCTCGCACCATCGCTCTGACTCAGTCACACATGGTGAAGCAGGTCATTCGGCGATTCGAGTTTCAGTTTTCTATGACACAGCCCACTCGTCTTGCCGTTGGCCACAGACTCACGGGCCCTTTTCCCGACGAACCCTTTGAGTCTAGTGGTCCTTATTGTCAAATGTTGTAGTCTTAGTGGTGTGTGTTATAGGGGGTACAATTGTTAGGGTTAGATTTATGTACCCCAACCAACCTTAGTCAAACCAACACTTTGATTCTTGACATGGTATCACCTAGGTTAGGATCCTGTGGGATCCCGCTAGAGCTTCTCGCGCCCGTTGGACGTAGTATACCGTTCCCGTTGCGCCTGCTTCGCCCCGTAGCGCCTCTTGTGGCCGTTCGTTCCATCCTGCAGCGCCCTAAGCGCTTGCCCGTTCCGTCGCGAAGCGCCCGTAGCGCCTGTAGCGCCCTTAGCGCCTGCCCGTTCCGTCACGAAGCGCCCGTAGCGCTCGTAGTGTCCGTCGCACGCGCCTCCCTGCCCCCTGCCTGTCGCGTCCCCTGCCCGTCGCGTCCCCTGCCCGTCCCGTCACCTGCCCGTCGCGTCCCCTGCCCGTCCCGTCCCGTGCACGTCGCGTCCCCTGCCCGTCGCGTCGCGCTGCCCCTCCCGTCCCCTGCGTGTCGCGCTGCCCGTCCCATCCCGTCCCCTGCGCGTCGCGCTGCCCGTCCGTCCCGTCCCCTGCGTGTCGCGCTGCCCGTCCGTCCCGTCCCCTGCGCGTCGCGCTGCCCGTCTGTCCCATCCCCTGCGTGTCGCGCTGCCCGTCCGTCCCGTCCCCTGCGCATCGCGATGCCCGTCCCTTCCCGTCCCCTGCGCGTCGCGCTGCTCGTCCGTCCCGTCCCCTGCGCGTCGTGCTGCCCGTCCGTCCCGTCCCATGCGCGTCGGCGCTGCCCGTCCCGTCGCGTTTTGTCCCCTGCCCGTCGCGTCTCGTCCCCACCCTCCCGTCAATTCGCCCCCAGCCCGTCGCGTCGCGCCTTGCTGTCCTGTCGAGTCGCGTCCTACCCGCCCCGTCGCGTCGTGCCCTGTTGTCCCGTTGCGTCGCGCCTTCCGCTCAACCTGCCGCGCCCTGCTCGGACCCTCTAGGCGTTTAGGGTTTCGGCAGCAGTAGTATCCACCTCTACGCTTCTGCTATGGCGACCCCTAGGGTCCTGCGCTTTGGCACTGAGGGTAGGCCACTCGAGTTCTCGGTCTGGCTCCTGCATGCGCGCCGCCTCCTAAAGAGCTAGGTTCAGGCATACGAGACTCTGTGGGTGCATGCTTTCAGTGACCTTCCTAAGCCCCCTAGCCCTACACCCTTAGCAGCTGACCCCACACCTGCAGACAATGACCGTTATGCACGCGAGCGTGCTGACGTGACCGCGTGGAAGTCGCGTGACGCTGCGGCCTGCATCGCCCTCAGCAGCCTCCTCCCTAAGTCGGAGGAGATCCACGTCACTCAGGAAGTTTAGGGTTAAGGGTTTTGGGTTTAGGGTTTAGGGTTTAGGTTCGCACGGCTAGTGAGTTCCTAACTGCGATCAAGGCCCGCTACGCTACTCCCACCACTTCCTCTCTTGGTCGCCTGTTCCTTTCCTTCCTGTTTCCTGACCTCGCCTCGTTTGAGCGCACTGCTGACTTGATCACTCATCTGTGCTCGCTCGATTCTAGCTACCGCACTGCTTGCACTGACGCACAGCTTGCACTGATCCCTCCCCCCATGGAGATCACTATTTATTTCATCGCCACTAGCCTCCCTGACCGCCTTGCCTCGGTTCGTGATGTGCTTCTTCCGAAGCACCCTAGCGAGCTCACTATCGAGGTCCTTGAGTCGGCCCTCAAGGACGTCGAGAGCAACCTCCGCCCAGTGGCCTCTGCCTTTGGTGCTGTGCCCCCTCCACTGTTTCACGAGTGCACTGTCCCTCAGCTGCCCACCTTTACTACCTCCCTCGCCACTGTCGCTACTGACGTAACTGCAGCTGCTGTTAGGAGTGGCAGGAGGGGCGGTCAGGGTGCAAGCGGAGGGGGCGGAGGCAGTGGGGGTGACGTGGCGAGCGGCAGCGGCGGGAGTGCAGGGGCTAGAGGAGCGCCTCGTGCAGCGGCCGGTGACTCCCCTGCTGCAGCTGGTGGAGGTGACGCCCGGGTTCGTCAGCCACCTACTGGTCTGCCAGCTGCAGGGGGTGGAGCAGCGGCGTGGTACCTGACTCAGCGACAGCAGCAGCAGCAGCCCCTCCCCTCGCAGCAGCCACAGCAGCAGCAGCAGCAGCAGGTTTCGGGGCAGGGGTCAGGACAGCGTCAGCTGTAGCGCAGTGTCGTCCACCCTCCCTGCACCTATCACGTTCTGACAGGTGCCCGCCGCGGCCAGCCTTGTGGCTGCAGCCACCCACCGGGTCAGTGCTTTGCTCAGCTTACTAACACGGATCGGTTGGCCTACGGCGTTGACGGCCCTGCCCCTGACTGGCTTCCCCTTGTTCACACGTACGGCTCCGCTCTGTGGGGCATGTCGGCTTCTCAGTTGGTTGATCTCTTAGGAACTCCTCATGCTATGTATGCTGGTGTTGAATCTAGTGCTTCTGACTCTGTTTACTCGAGTGTTGTTAGCTTAGGTGCTAGTCTTGCAGAGGTTCTTGTTGCTAGTGTAGGTACTTGTGTAGACACTAGTCCAGAAGCTGCTCCGGAGGACGCTTCGCTTTCTTTCACTCTTGACTCCGGAGCTTCGCACTGCTTCTTCCACGACCGCACGACAGTTACCCCGCTTCCTACACCGGTCTCTGTAGCACTGGCTGATCCCACTTCGGGACCAGTCACTACTTGCTACACTACTACGCTTCCGTGCCTGGCTGTTCCCTCCGGTTCTCTGACCGGCTTCCACGTCCCCTTGTTCTCGAGGAACTTGGTGGGCATGAGGCCGCTCGTGAGTCAGCATGTGGGTGTGAAAATTGAGCCTTCTGGCGAGACTGCGGTTTGTGTCGACGGGGACACGTACGCGCCTCTCGCCACCTTTATCGCTGAGCTGGGCTCTGGTCTCTACACACTTCACACTGGCCCCCGAGGGCAGCAGCAGCAGCAGCAGCAGTAGCAGCGGCAGCAGCAGTGGTATTAGCGGCAGCAGCAGCACCAGCAGCACCAGCAGCAGCAGCAGCAGCAGCAGCAGCAGCAGCAGCAGCAGCAGCGGCAGCAGCAGCAGCAGCAGCAGCAGCAGCAGCAGCGGCAGCAGCGGCAGCAGCAGCAGCAGCAGCAGCAGCTACTGCCCTCGACCATTATCACTGCCCCTCGTCAGGTTCCCGCGTCTCACCAGGTTGCCGCGTCTCCCCAGGTAGCTGTGTCTGGTCAGGTTCAGGTGTCTGGTCCAGTTGCTGCGTCATGCTCCACTTGCCCACCCCACCGTTATGGCACCACCGGATGGGGGGCACTCGTCCATTCCTCGCTTACGCGCTATGTCTATTCAGCGTCTTGTATTAGGCCTCCCGCGAGTCTTGCCGTTGCTGCCGCCTTCGCTTGCACCACCTTGCGGTCACTGCGTCGAGGGTCGGCTGCGCGCCACCCCTCACTCCTCCTCCCTTTGTCCGTCCACCGAGCCTTCAAGACTCTCCACTTGGACGTCTGGGGCCCCGCCCCTCGCCCTAGCCCTGAGCGAGAGAGTTTCTTTTTGGTGGTCGTCGACGACTACTCTCGCTACACCATAGTGTTCCCCCTAGCAAAGAATTCTGAGGTGACTTCTCTGGCCTTCCCAGGTCTCTGCCCCCCCTCACGCGCCCGCCTGCCCCGCCCTGCCTTCCTTGCGTCGAGGGGCAGCAGCGCGCCGCTCCTCACTCCTCCTCGTTTCCCCCGACAACTGCTCCCCTACAGATTCTCCACATAGACGTGTGGGGCCCAGCCCGTGTCCAGGGACAAGGCCGCGAGCGATACTTTCTGCTGGTTGTTGACGACTACATGCGTTACACCACGGTCTTCCCCTTGCGCAGTAAGGGTGAAGTCCCTGATGTCTTGATCCCTCCGCGCAGTCCGTCTCTAGCTCCGCGAGCGGTTCCATGAGGACCTTCCTGTCCTGCGTCTGCACTCTGACAAAGGTGGTGAGTTCTCCTCCGACCTCTTGAGGGACTTTTCTCGTGGGGAGGGCATCCTCCAGTCGTTCACGCTGCTGGCCTCTCTGCAGCAGAATGGGGTTGTTGAGCGCCGCATTGGCTTAGTGATGGAGGTCGCTCGTACCTCCGTGATCCATGCAACGGCTCCCCATTTTATGTGGCTGTTTGCGGTCCGGTACGCCACTCATTAGCTTAACCTTTGGCCCCGTGTCTCCTTGCCGGAGACCTCACCTACACTGCGTTGGATGGGGGAGGTTGGCGATGCGTCAGTGTT